AAACTAAAACCCAAATATAAGCAATGTTTTTTAGGGTTGACAATGTTTGTTTTCCGATCATCACGTGACAGTAAAACTGATCCTAAACCCTGTCAAAATTTAAGGGGTCGTGTAAAGCGGTACAAAATCACGTGATTTACAACCAATCAAATTATAGATGATCGCCGACGGAGCAAAACAAGAAAAAAAAGCAAAAAACTTTAAAATACAAAAATATCAGTCTAAGTAAGCTAAGTAAAAATGTCGGGAAGGCAATTTTGCTTATATATAACTATCTAAAGTCTGCTCTAAACATAATCCAAGATGACCATAACCCTAAAGTTAATTCGATAAAATATATATTATAAGAATCTACTTTAGACGTCCCCACTTAAGGGTATTCTTATCGTTATAACCAATTTTTTGTCGATCATTTTTATGGACAGCAAAACATAGTAAATTCAAATCTTTAATTCATGAACTAAATAAAGATTTACTTATAAAATTATACTTATTCGAATCATCTTGACATGTTATTTAACATAATAGAGCTATTTTGAAATTTTCAACAATAAACCTGGATTTTTGTTGCCGAATTACACTTTAATTTATATTAAAAAAGCGAAAATGGCTCTATTATACTAAAGCCCACATTAAATCGATTCAAACAAGTATAATTTTATAGGCATATCTTCATTAGTTCACTGGTTATTAGAGTTTAAATTTACTATCATTAGCATTATGTTTTAATTACTAACAAACCAACTTACATACTAGCATCTAACCCGTCACGTTGCTCCAGATTCAAATATAAAATATTTAATTAATTTAAAAACAAAGAAATTATTATAAAATATATATAGTAAATACTAATTTTAATATACCGTTGACCTCTGTATACTCCATGATTAAAACCTGGGTATTATTCATCATCCTTACCATCCTATTTCTTGAATAAGACCCGTGGTATACCTATTGATTTACTACTTTTAATATGATTTATCCCAAATATAGTGCCCGGTTCTTCACACAGTACAATATCCACTATTCAATTTTAAAAATATTTTTGAATAATACTGTAATATCAAATACTGTTCGATACGTATTATGATCAAATTTGTGCAACAATAATAAGAATCATGTGTTATAGCAGTAGCCAATCAGATTGTATTTTTTGTCTCATAGTGTTTGTCTCATAGTGCTTGTGTTTTCGTGTAGTATAATACAACCAATAGATTTGAACTGATCGACATAAATTCGGATATTGTCGGAAAAATCTTAATTAGTAAAATTTATTATCGTTATGTGATCTCTACAATGTTTGCTATCTCACCCCAACGCGTCATGTTGTCAACCCTATAAGTTAGCACGATAATATAACACATTTTTTTATCAGACTTGGCGAATATATTCGATTTTACAAAGACCCTTACGAGATGTCCCAACGTCTTAATGAAGAAATGTATACCTCACTTCGCAAGAAAGCTTTGGGAGTGCTAAATGATACTCTTGAAAAATAATTGAAAAGATTTGATACGATGAAAGATACGCGTGTGGTCAACCACGTGCGACCTTTCTTCGAGAGAGCCATAAGCAGCCTAGACTTTCATATCCACGAATTTCCAATAATAATCGAAGGTAAAAAGGGATTAAGTTGACTTAATGCATTTTAAATTTTGCATCTCACCAAACAAATTATTAATAATGTTAGATGACGTTGTAGCTGGTACTTCCGGGAATACTCCAGAACTCCCTATAATAATAGAATCAGATGATGACGATGACAAAAGTAAAAAAAGTAAAAAAGGGAAAGAGGTTGTAAATATCACAAATAAAAGAAAAAGATCAAGTCTTAAAAAAGATACGAATGAAAGAGCGAAAAAATATAGATTATGTAACTGTAAAAATTATACAACCCGTATTGTCGTGAAATAATGCTCAAGGGTGTCATTTAAATTTTGGCCCAAATTAATCTTAATTCGGGCCATTATACTGAATAACACCCATTTGAAAATACGGTAATTCATATTTATCAGTTTTTTCATGCTAAATTAAATTACTAATTTCGCTTAATTTAGTTCCCAATTCAAACGTATCATCCATTATTTCTGCCTCTGGAAGTTTAAGTGACGATTTTATTGATGAACCCAAACTCAGTTTTGTGGGAGGGTCAAAAAGTGAAAAACCTAATAATGTACAGTCAAGTAATAATAGACCTCTCGTGACCGTATGGACTGAGAAAGGTAAATAAAAATATATAACCTAAGTTTATCGAATTTTACATGCTAAATTAAATAACTAATTCGCTTAATTTAGTTTCCAATTCAAATATATCATCATCCACCATTAATTCTGCCTCCGGTGATGATCTTATGAAAGGATCAACAGGTGCTAGTGAACATAACAGAGATCCCGTGACTGTATGGAGTGAGAACATTGGTGGTCAAATCATCAAATCAAGCAAGGTAAATAAGAAATATATGTGTATCGGGTTTTCATGCTCAATTTAGTTTCAAATTCAAACGTATCATCTGCCATTATTTCTGCCTCTGAGAGTTTAAGTGACGATTTTATTGATGGAACCAAACTCAGTTTTATGGGAGGGTCAAAAAGTAAAAAATCTAATCATGTACAGTCAAGTAATAATAGAACTCCTGTGACCATATGGACTGAGAAAGATAAATAAAAATATAGAACCTATGTTTATCGAGTTTTACATGCTAAATTAAATTACTAATTCGCTTAATTTAGTTCCCAATTCAAATATATCATCCACCATTATTTCTGCCTCCGGAAGTCTAAGAGATGATTTTATCAGCACTGTGAGAGGATCAACAAATGCTAGTGAACATAATAGAGCTCCCGTGACCATATGGAGTGAAGTCTTCATGTCAGATATAGAACAGTCCTCCGTAAATATGACCGTGAGTTCTGACGTTGCTTTAAAGAACATTATTATACAAGGTAAATAAGAAATATATGTGTATCGGGTTTTCATGCTAAATTAAATTATTAATTCGCTTAATTTAGTTCCAACTTCAAATGTATCATTATCCACCATTATTTCTGCTTCTGGAAGTTTAAGTAACGATCTTATCAGTTTTGTGGAAGGGTCTGAACAGTCAAGTAATAATAGAGACCCCCGTGACCGTATGGACTGAGAATGTTGATGATCAAGGAGACAACAGTAATAAGAATATACAGTATAACCTATGTTTACCGAGTTTGCTATGCTAAACTAAAATGACTAATTTATTTAATGTTGAAGCCACAAGAAAATTAAGATTGGATTTGCCATCAGTTCCAAGGATTCAAGACTCTTTGTTTATGACGATGGTAACATGCTGTCATTTATACAAAAAGTCTTGGGAAACCTTAGAATTCCTCGGAGACAGGGCTATTACATTCTGCCTCTGGAAGATAGCGGGGCCCAAATACCTTCAGATATTGGCAAAAGTATAAGGAATATTACCACCAATAAAATATTGCTTTATACTTGGCATTCATAACATGAATGAAAAAAGGCTACCAGAAATTAAAAAATGGCATGCCGATGCGTTTGAGGCATATATAGGTACCTACTATCTAACTAGTGGGGAATTGGCAGTTTGTACCTTGACGCCCTGATGACTTCCTTATTGGATTTAATTATAGAATGCGTCTACGGAGGAAAAGGGGAACCTCAAGACTCTTATAAAATAGCATCCCAATACTTTAGGATGTCATGGATTGAGGATGGTAATCGTCTTAAATAGCTATTGGCTATTTGCACCTAGCCGATACTTACGGTGCATCTTTTTTTGTAGTAAGATTAGTTACAAAGCCATTGACATAGAAAGTGAGTTCTAAATAAATATGGTTTGATTAGCAAGTTGATGTGATTATATTACTTTGCGGAAATCTTGTACTTTTTTTTTTCAAGACATTTACGATTTAATTATGAACTTAATTAAAGTTTAATAATTATAAAATTGTTAAATAATAAGGACGATTTTAACACTAAAACGTACTATAAGTAATTAAAGTTAGGGAGTCTAAGTAAAAATGTTCAGGACCCCTGAAAATCTCACAAGAACTGAAATCGGGACCTTATATATGATCTACATTATGTTCCATAAAACTTCTCTTTTATCCTAAAACTGCACCCTAACCCTAAAAATTCTTAGGATGGTGAATATTAAATAAATTCAAATAGTAATTATACTATTAAAAATTTAAATGTCTGACTGCTTAAGCTATCTGATTGATTGATTTTAGGTACCCGTGAATCTGGGCCATCAGCTGAAGATTTGTCTTATTTTTCGTGCTCTGTAATTCTGGCAAAAATGGTGTCGATTGTTAGCCAAAATTTGAAAATGCCAATTAGGATTAAACGACTAAATATAGCTAAGCGATTAATTGTTAAAAATCTTTTAATCGGTTTTAATTCCCAATTACAATAAAATTAAAAGTAAAATAAATTTTAAAATAAATAATTATTTAGAAAATTAAATATTCTAAATTAAGTACGGACGTTCATTGTATTTTATAAATAGTGTCGTAAATTATTATGACATATTTGTAATTGAACCTTGATTTTTGCTCTAAAAGAACGGATTTACCAATATTTCCCACATAATTATGCCAAATGAATAAATA